TGTAAATGTATAGGCACACATTGTACAATAATGAATCATTATCTCTTTTTTCCCCATGATTACCATGTAAACAAATATTTTTTCTCTGAACTAACCAAAACAGGAAAATTGTAAAATACCAGTAAATTGCTAAAAACTATAGTTTAAAGCTGTGAAAAACATTTTCTTGTTTTTTTAAAAAAAAAAGTAATGTAACATCCTCTCTAAAAAAAAAAAAAGAAAAGAAAAGAAAAGAAAAGAAAAAATAAAAAGCCTAGTGACTTAAAAAAAAAAGAAAGAAAGAAAGAAAAAGAAAAAAGGTAAGGCCTTAGAAGACTGTTGGTGTCACAAATATACATGAAAACTTTCTATTTTTTCTGTCCTGAACATCACTGAAGGAATCTGAAACATATTTTGGCATGATTACTTTAATCAGTAGTGTGTTTCTCTTCGTTATGGGACAAACCTGATTGGACCAAAACTGGGAATGAGAGTGAAAATGGCTTTTATTTTGATAAAAATATATTTTATTTAAAACTTTTACTTCACAAAAAAAAGGACAAAAAGTCATAAGTTTCAAACAAATGCACTGCATCTTTGAAAGGCTTATGGATTAAATTTCTCCATCAAGTATAAATAGTCTCTTCTTTGGTTCCATCATTTGATCCAGCGTGTGTACATGTACACGTGTGTGTGCTTTGCAAAACCAGCTTTGGCTCTTCCCTGAGAAAGTCTTTGAGGATTTTCAGGTTGCTAATCATCCACTGGTCTGCAGTCAGCGTCTCATTCGCAGCGGACCCAGCCCTCGCATTTTCAAACAGTCTTTTCCATCCTTTATCTGGAAAGAAAGAAATGACTCAGTCGTATTAGGATTCAGGACACCAGATGTAGCTGTAATTTCTCCACAGGGAAAGAAGGAATAGCGTTTACACAGCAATAACCTCATCCTATAATGTCAAGTTATTTTCCAAATGCAAAAGGGGGAAGTCTAACACAACAGGTTCTGCACTACAGTGAGAGTCTTGCAGCGTGGAGAGCTGAAAGCGCACGCAAATACGCGTGCGTAAAAGTGCTTTTAACGCACACTCCAAAATGAAAAAATAGGGCAACATAGACATGGCAGTGATTTAAAAATAAACCAATGCTGCGTCAGACACAACCTCTTATAACGGTTTAATATGAACAACAAATAGTGTCAAGGCTCAGAGCTGATGAGCCTGTTTCATGTTCTTTGACCAAACAGAGGTATGTAAGTCTTTCTGACCATGAAGATATAAAAGAGCATTTACCCCTTTCCTCTGGTTGCTCAAACAGAATGTGCAGATGGTCCTCGGCTGCTTCCCTCCGCTCTCTCCTTGCGCATGGACCGCGCCGAGGCACGGCTGTCCGTCTGCGCCACCGTCTCCAATGAGAAGCACGTTGGCCAGATGGGAAATGTAGCTGGATGCCAGTCGAAGAGTTTCGATCTTGGACAGCTTTCTGTCCACTGGCTCGGTGGGTATGAGAGTCCGAAGGGCTGTGAATGCGGTGTTGACGCTCTGGGTCCTGCCTCTCTCCCTGGCGTTAGCTGCGCTCCTCTGCTTTATGACCACCGCGGTGTCTCCCTCCAGATTGCGCGAAATCCGTCTTCGTTTCTCCGTGGAGCCACAGTAACTTTGCTCCGAGCTGCCGTCGCTCTCGCTGCGGTTTTCATCGTCCTCGGACGTGACAGTGAAGTCCGAATAGATTAAGTGCGTCGCCACAGGCCGCAGCATGGCAAAAGTCATCCTTCAAAGTTACCACTGGTCCCGGCTGCAGATCCGCTGCGCAGTCAGTCTCAAAACAAACTCGGGGACTTTCCCTGCATCTCAGTATTACGCACAGTCTGCAGCAACCACCTCCTGCGAAAAGGAGTTTTTTTTTTAATAAAGCTGGCCGACTTGTTGGCCTGGTTCAGGATGGACCCAGACTACCTGGTCAGCAGGGCTCTTATAGCTGGATGGGAGGAGCTGCAGTAGCGCACAGAGTTACAGTAGCCTCTCCAAATACACGAACAACAACCCACTAGCAACATGGGAAAATGTTGGCCATCACCAAAAAATGTGAGTTTTACAATTAGAGGAGAGACCGATCATTGGAATCCTATCAACACTTTTTTTTTTTGGAACCACTGTCATTGTGTTTTGTTTTGTTTTTTGTAAACTTGGTTAACTTATTGTGAAGCAGTTATGGATTTGACCAGTTGAATCCCTGGATTCAGTTTAACAGTAAGAAAACTGGAATTGTTAGACCAACTTAAACAAAATACTTCAAATGGTAACACACAGTCAATTTGGACACATCAGTCCAAATTAACTTAACAAGTAAAATTAATGCTACTGGTTTAAGTTCGATGTACTTAAATCATTTGATTCCTTTCACATGAACAGTTTGCATAACTGCAACGTAATTTTGAGGTAACTTTTTCAAACATTGGCTTAACATAAAATGTAAAATGTGATGTATAACTTTGGCTGAAATTCATACACCAGTCTAAAGGTGCAAAGTATAATGTGAAGTTGACAGAATCTACAACAGTAAACTGCCATCAGCAAAGCAGACAGATAAGTGAGATTTATTCAAAACAGTACTTTACTTTAGCTACACTTTAACAGTGTACTACAGCACATTATTAATACTCATTTACAAGTAGAGGATGGACTATTTTATAGATTCACACAGAATGTTTATGATCATTTTTATTATTATTTATGTATTTTAGGATAATCGTTTGTCTTGGTGAAGCTTATTTACTTTAAGCCACTTCATAAAATGGATCAGTTAGTCCATAAAAAGTGCTTGTTTTATTTGAACTGACCATGTGTTTTTTATGTAAAAACTAATAACTGCAGCTGCAAAATGTAGGTCAGTAGAAGTATAGCGTTGCATAAAATGAAAAGATAAGTAAAACTACAGCATTTGACTAAATCGTTTTAGTACATTCCAACACTGTGCATGAAAGTGACTCTGGTCTAACTTATAATTTTGCATTTATTGTGGAAGTTTATAAACTTGCAAAATTCAAATATTTTGTTTCTGGAGTGTTTTAGGGGCATTCAGGGACTAAAGTTTGCTTTTACAGTTAACTATCTTGTCTTAGTGTGACATGTTTACGGTTCTGCCACCCGCTGAGCTCTGTTTTCGTTGGCTGCTAAACTGCAGTTTTACCACCCAAATGAACTCTCGACAAATCTGCCCGACATCCAAGCATAAATGTGCAGCATTTGTGTGTGTAAACTGACTTTCCAACTCACACATGTCAAAAGTAAGAAGTTCTCTTATTTGAATTTCTTCTTCAGAAATGTAACTGAACTGTGCATTAACTATTTCACAACAACAAACAGGCTTAGAGTAAATAATCCCACTGTTGTGTCCCCACATTAGAAGCTGCTTCTGGCTCACTCTGAGGCTCACATGTCAGGCAGCAGGAGAAAGTTAAGTGTGAGTAAATAAACAATGAACAGATGATCCTGGAATGGCAAGGATTTATTTGCTTGCTGCCCTGAGTTCAGAAAAACAAAGCAGTGGCAAATGGATGATTTAGTCCCTCTGAGTCACATCGGCAGACGCAAGCCGGCAGCACATTCAGACACTTCAGTGAGCCTCAGCTGCATCAACAGTCAGACATCAGACACCCAAACTGTCTGCTGGAGGAGCTCTGAGGTCTTGGAAAGGACACCAAACACAGGACCCTGCAGACTGTGAGAAGATTTCAATTTGCAGAAATAAGGCAGTCTCTCCAGAGGTTTAATTTAATCTAAATTAATGAAAAACATTCTGAGGTATGAAAGATACACAAACTGACTTTAATTTGTTGTGATATCTGATGATCCATTAATAACATATTAAAGGTCAACAAATATGATTAATTATACTTATCGTGAAGCTTTCCTAGGAATTTATTATGTGTCTTTATGGGGTGTGTGCAGTACAACAACTGTGTATGTGTGCGTCTGTGTTTTTGTGTATTTATGTGTGAGACTCTGCGTGTTGACTTGGCACTAAAGGCAGAAGCTTTCTGAGAACAACACTCTTGTTTCATGGAACTGTGAAAAAATGTTGTGGTCGTCCGGAAGTAATAGATCCATTTGTCCACAGTGATGAGGCCAAACCATGTTGGGTTTTCCACCCACTGAAGTCCAAGTTGTTGAGCTTCACAAATCTCCAGGAACAGCAGCTATGAGAGGAAGGTTCTCAGTGTCTGACCTGCTGCATGTTTTGCTTTTCGCTTGTTGGCCAAAGCATTGCTATATCAGACTGGTTAAGAATTGTGTACATCTAATCATGGTTCTTAGTGAATACACCTACTGACTCTGGTGATCCTCGTGCCCCCCCAAATTTTTGAAATCCAAAAAAATATCACTACAATGACTAAGATTTAAATGTCAAATGGTAAATAACATTGGGCACTATGAATAACCTTAACATTTTTGTTTTCATTTCACAAATATTTCCTTTTTTTAATAGATGAAACAAGATTAATGCTGTGAACATATTTTAAAAATTAGCTCATAAAATTAGACATTTGTGAGAAAAAGAAGTATCGATTCTGTAATTTTACATAAATGTGTCTGTTAAATGATAGTTTGTATTCTCACAGCAAGAATGCTGAATTCATGTGTTATCATAAGCATTAGTAATATGTTAAAATATCGTTTTCATCATTATATAGAATTTAACATATCTATCTATCTATCTATCTATCTATCTATCTATCTATCTATCTATCTATCTATCTATCTATCTATCTATCTATCTATTACTCGCTCATATGATAGGTAATTTTATTGTTGTCAAACATGTAAATTACTTTGATTAAATGTTCAAAGACAGAATGCCCTGAATGATTTGGGAAAAACATCTAACTACAATTTTTCTGACAGATGTTGCAATATGATTGGAGATATCATTTTGTAAAGTCAAGCTTCAGTTCAATATGGATTCTATAATAGATTTAAAAGGTAATGGAGCATTAACACGTGAGACAATGACGGCATGAATTGCTAAAACCACTGACATGACAGTCTAAACCAGGGGTGTCCGATCCTGGTCCTCGAGAGCCACAATGCTGCATGTTTTAGATGTTTCCCTCTTCCAACGCACCTTATTCAAATGATCAGGATTGTTATCAGGCTTCTGCAGAGCTTGATGATGAGCTGATCATTTGAATCAGGTGTGAAACATCTAAAACATGCAGGACTGCCCACCCCTGGTGTAGGAGGAAGCCAGAGAACCCGGAGAGAACCCACGCTGCACAGGGAGAAAATGCGAACCATGCAGAAAGATCCCAGTGCCCCCACCGGGACACGAACCAGCGACCTTGCTGCGAGGCAACAGTGCTAACCAACTGCACCACCTTGCAGCCCAGCCTTGCAGCCCAACATTCCAACTTGCATCTTTTATTTGCTAACCGTTTCAAATTGCAATTTCAATGTAAAATGTATTCATTTTTCAACTCTAAGTCAGATAAAACAATTTCACCAAAAGACAAGTTAATTTTGAAGATTTCTCTGATTCCATCGGTTTCATATCATCAGGCTGATAGTTTACTTTGGTCACCTTTCATTCTCAGCCTGATCTTAGTAACTGAAAGAAGAGTCCTATCTGAGGATCTGAGGCTGCACCAAACCCTGAACTGCTTTACATGTGATCAGTAAAATCATTTCTAAAACTGAATGATATCCAGTGAGGGGAGGCTAAAATTGAAATGAACACTTTCTACCCTGGAGGTCCCTACACCAAGGATCAGGCCAGGTCTGTTACTGAAATGCAGCCACCACCACATTTACAGCAGAAGGACACAGACCATGGCAAATTCAATGAAGAAACCACCCAGTACTACTTGGACTAAAATGGATGTGGTGTTGCTGTGCTTCATCTCTGTCGCATCGCATTTAGTAAAGCTGCAGCTGAGAATCTTAAAAATAGGCTCACTAAAATCAGTGTTTATGGACTCATTGTTATAAGGCTCTAAATTACAGGCTGAAGCAAAAATGCGAGTTTATCAGATCTCACTCTGGACTGGTGATGGAGACAAGGAGGCTTACTGTGTTTCAAAATTCTCATCAGAGTCTCTTATCCACAGAGCCGAAGGTTGTTCATTTTGCCCTCACAGTTGTAGAACCGACTGAATTTGCTGATGTTTTTTTTTTTTATTTAGAATTTTTCAAAAAACGTGAAAATAAAAGACAAGGGTTTGTGGGTTGAACTGATCCCTTGACTTTTCTAGTAGAAAATCATCAAAGAATAGATCTAACTAACAAGTCTTGTGCCTGTATCTGCAGATATGGTTTTAGAGCCCCATTGTTGTCCAAAAGCTATTAAAAACACATCAGTGAGTTCAACGCTGCTGCACCGTGTGACATGTTCCTTCATTACAATCAACGTGAGCTCTGTAGTTTATTTTGAGTTGATCCCACACACACTGTCCTGCTGTGCTAAATACTCGCTTTAACACTAAATCTGCAGCTGAAAATAGTCCCCTCCAAAAAGCAATATTTTGTCTTGTTTCAGTAACGCTGGCAAGAAATCACAAATCCCTTTTGTTTAAGCAAATTATTTAGCAATTTTACATATGAATTTATGCAAACGTGACCTTTTTCTCTTTCCTTTTTTTTTTTTTAAAACACAAACATCTTCACTAGCAATGAATGAACTGTCAGAGAAAAATGACTGGGATTTGGGCTGAGGCTGCATTCAGGTAAAGTTCGAACTGACAAATGAACAGGCTGAAACACATATTTTAAATACATTGTACCTCATACCAAAACACACGGGCGGAACTGCAGCATGGTATCATGATTTAGACACAATTTGATTATCCATATCTCCTAAATGTGTCCAGGACTTACAGAACATGTTGGTTCCCAGTGATAGAGGAACTGTTAAGATGCTTTACTTCAATAAAAGTACTAATGCCACACACTGTACAATACTCTCATAAATACTCAGGTGTTTATGAGGTGGAGCTAACTGTTTAGCACAAGCCTGCAACTGATGAATGCTGAATCCTGAGAACAGAATAGTACTTAACCAGTTTTGTTTGCTATAGTTTCATTTACTCAAGAAAAAAGGACATTTTTGTTCATCAAACGGTTAGAAACTATTAAAAAATGTATAGATTTCTGTCAAACAAGGTGTAACTTTACTGTCCACTGACTTTTCTTGCTTACTGCCATAAATAGTAGATATTAAATCCGACTGACGTTAACTGTGACACTGTTTTCACAAAAATGTTCATAAACTTTTAAGTAAAGGTGTGGATTCCATGCCCACCTCAAAGTGTAATCATGAGTCTTTCCAGCACAGACTGTTTTTAGTGCGCTTAACTCTCATTAGTGCAGCACAATGCATATGTCATCTTCTTTATGGCAAAATACACCCATAAAAATAAAGGAAAAGGAGCGAATGATGTCATTGGATAAATACTTTGAGCGAAAAGAACTAAGTGTTGAGAGTAAGAGGTGATAGAGCTGGATCATCTGAATGGAGCTGACCTCTGATCTGGTCACAAAAGCTTATTCTGAGCCAGGAAAAACTCTCTGATGATTATTTCCATTATGCACTAATTTCCTGATTCTTTTTCTTGACGTGAGAAGCTGCAAGCATGAAATGTTTCAGGCACTTTCGCATTAAAAAAATGACTGGTTGCCAAATCATTTTCTGGCAACTGAACTGAATTACTTACATTGTATTACATTATACTTGTACTTGTATTCTGTTGGGTAATTATGTGTATAACAAAAATTGGATTATAAGATTAGATGTTTTTATGATAAAATCTCAATTTAACTACTAACTATACCCAACTCAAAGTAGAAAGGGGCACGAAAAAGTACCTTAAATTTTTAATCATCAAAGTACTTAAGTAAGCTCAATTCCACGACTGCAGTGTAGATGCACCACCCACCTCCTTCATTTTTTTGTCTTATCACATAAAAATATTTCTATCACATTTGTGTTTTCTCTTCCCTGCTGAGGGTCTGTCCATCTTGTACTTTACAGACAAGAGAGGCAACAAAATATGTACTTTACATCTCAGAATAAGTCCTTTTAGAACAGACATTTAAACCCATCACAGCAAAAAGAGCACAAGTACATTAAAATGAACAATGATGCTGTTTTGGCAAATGTTGCACTGTAGAAATGCTCATTCAGTTAGTACTGTATCATTCTGTATCTATCCATACTGCATATATTATATATTACTCATACATCTTATACACCCATATATCTAGCGCTTAAATGCACCATGCAGGGTTTGTACTGTTATTATTGCTCATACTGTATATACCTTTGGAAATTGTCTTAAAGCTATTCCACGAAGATTTCAACACTGCTTCTTTTGCATTTCTAGCTAGATACTAAACTGCATTTCTCAGTCTCTGTTGGTTTCATCCCACATTTTTTTCCTGGTAGCAATGAATGCAACGTTCACTACATGTTGTTGGTATCTTCCTCCATCACTGGGCTCCACCAACCTGTACTGACTATCACACAGTGCCTAAACCATGATGCCATGCCGCAGATCTGCCCATGTGTCTCTATATGAGGTAAATTATGTTTAAAGTATTTGATGAAGGCTGTTTCCCCATCAACTTTACCGTAACAAAACCTCAGTCCAAATCTCACTCCTCTGTGCAGCACCTGAACACCTACCGTTTGCACTGCTGGAAGCACTTTTCAAAAAGGACACAGACTTCCCAAATAATATGAAAAGACTAATGAGTTAGTGCAGCATTACTAAAAATTTGCATTTTTTCCAGCCTGCCTTTGGCTCTCAGTCGCAATAACATTCATCCGTACTGAAGTTGTAAATGTCAAATGTACTGATGTCACTGCAGACAAGTCGGGCTTCACGTCCTCACGTCCAGCTGAAGACAACACAGTGAAATTGGAGGACAAAGCTGGTGTGAGCTACATGATAATTACCCAGAGACAAATCCTTCTAATGAGTGAGGCCATCTTTTATAGCAGATGCTCTCTGCTTGGCAGGGCTCATCAGTCCAAGTGTCCCCCACGTTACAGCTTTGAAGCCTGTGCGAAATACAACCTACTGCTATTATACCACATGTATACTTTCCCAAAGCTACGTAGAGAAGAAGGTTTATGCACAATGTGTCTCTGTGGTGAGGTCAGAGGGTGGACACGGCACTGCAAATCTGCAACAGATTACACGCCTGCAGCCACCAGTATAGTCTGAGGGAATTCCGGATAGGAAGCTGTGAAAAGTCCTCATCGAGTCAAACACCTAAACCCAAACTCTTTCAAGAGGATTTGGGTGTAATGCCTTCTCAAGTGGAACAAATGGGTGAGCTGACTAACCAGAGATCATTTTTCAGTCTCAGTTTAAATGTAGCCAAACTCTGCAGGAGAGTTGGAAGCACCTTTGTAAGGTTTCAGTAGTTTAATTATGTCACTGCATGGAGCACTTTCTAGACCAAGAATTAAACACTTTATACATTGTCTCAAGAGAAATCTGCCACGATAAAACATGTTAAAGCACAATCTTCGAAATTAGTTTTCAACTGAGATTTTAAGCAAGTGGCACATTTGTCTCTTTAAAATGCTCCAGAGTTTAGTAATCAAATCTTTTTAGTTTGTGTGGTACTATGCAGCACAGACATATGACTTCACTGATTCAAAAACATGTTGATGCTAAAAACAAAGATGTTCTGCTAAAAAATGCACCTCTTTGCATTACCCAGAGAAAGTGAATGACATTTTCACTTTGCTTCTAACTGAATAGAGGGAATAGTTGGATTTCCCTCTATAATATTGTTGCTTCTTAAGCTTAACATTTAAATTAGTCATGTAAATCTGTAATACTAATCCTATTTCTCTATTAGAAAGCCCTTTAGGTCAACATGTGTTGTTTTATATGTGCTAGAAAAAAAAAACGGTAACTTATCTGTCTTGACTTGACTAACAGTTATGTGTTGTAGATATGAATAAAACTTTTGAATTAGATTGTCATTCTGTCTTCATTGTCCAACGTCACACCAAAAGCCATACACAGATAAAACTAGTTTGTTGAGAAGAAAAATCAGAGTTTCAGACGATTGAACTCCAAGTCTACTCTCATCCTTAATCAGTGCCTTTGACTTGTCTTGTCTGCCATGTCTCTGTACTTGTAATTATAAAAACCAACATAATATAATATCAAACCAAGTTTCTGTGTTTAGAGCCTGAACGCCTCCTGGGGATCCTGAAAATAGCACAAAAAAGGGAAAAACTTTTTTAAAGTACTGTCAGAATCATTTTGACTTTTTGTCCTTAAAAGAAACACTCATTTCAGTATGAGTCAGCTGTTTTATATTCCTCCATAATTAACAACATTGTTTTTTTTTGTTGCAGCAATCAAAAAAAAAAAATCTCCTTGGATTAAAGTGTTCAAATCCTGGGTATTTATTCTGGTAATGTCTTTGTTCTGTTGATATTTCAGAGGAAAAACTATACAGAAGAGTGGAAATCAGGACAAATAAATGGATCACCAAATTTAATGAAAGATTTGCAAACGTGAAATTGACACCATGAGTCCATTTCTTTGATTCATTACTGAGTAACAACAACACATGGTAAAAGAAACAGTATGAGCAGTGTGTGGCTCCAGTGCACTGCTGTGTTCCCTTAACGCGTCACTGATAACTGTCACACAAAAATTTAATTAATAAGACACTTCCTCAGTCACAAATAGTATTCACTGACTTTGTATGTAGAGGTGATCAAGTCACTAAACAGCAAACCAAGATCAAGTCCAGGGAGTTCAGCAAAAATTTTAAAGCTTATAATATTTAGAGAATTGAAAAAAAAAACAAAAAAAAAAAACAAAAAACAACACATCATCTGGGAAACCATTTGAAGGCTTTATTATCTCCAGAAACTCCCTCAGCCATGAAATCAAGCAAGGACACAGACAAAATAGTTTCCAGCAGGTCAAAATGATTGAATGGCTCCAGCAGAGGCAGAATTTGAATTTTTAGACCTTGAAAATGGGGGAAAACAAGTACAACATTTTTCAACAAGGGTGGTATTGGTTCCCCAGAAAGTTCCTTGGAGGGTACATATATGTGTCCATATCTACTACAATAAATATTCTTTGGTCAACATTTTACCAATGTTTGACACCAATTGAATTTGATGTGTGGGAAGTATGGCAAGCCAAGGTTTCATTTTTTTGCTATTTTGACATATCAAAATGCTGCCATGGACATAGAAACACAAAAACTGGTGTGCATGGGGGTCTACACATTGACATTATACTTGCAAAGTTACAAGCTGCCTCCATGTTGTCTGGAGCAACACCTGTATCACCACAAATGACATGAACTGACCAAGATGTGAACAAATTACATCCTTGACCACAAAATAATAAATAAATGAAAAAGTAAAAAATAAATAAAAAAAATCAATCCATTTGTGAAAATGGTCTCAACAGTTCCTCTTCTTAGCTCCCCCAAATCCCCTTGATCTGCTTAAATCCTCGGAGATAAAGCGTGCAGAACCACCCATGGAAACCGCTCCCCGAAGCAACAGGTGCACTGTATTTTTTCATACCAGTATTGCGTGTCAAAACCCCTTTGAGGATATGGTTACTTCCAGACAGTGAGCGAGCTACAGGAAATCTTCTCACACGCGACGATTCAGAGGAGAAATTTAGAGTCCTTTAGGGCCGGTCGGTAAAAGCTGCCCTAAGTCTCCTTTCATTTCCTCAATGGCCACAAAGGGAGACTGTCAAGCAGCTCTGCGCTCGCATTGTGAGAGTGCTGATGTCGGAAAGGCCTCGTCTTGATGTATAGATTACCTATATTATTCTGTAAACTACAGTTCCTTCCTCCAAGGCAGAGGCATGGGAACTGCTGTCTGACTTGATTTAGTAAACAGGGCCAGTCTCAAGGTCAGCAACAACCACAAACAGGCCATTATCTAAAACATTTATTGAGGATTATTTGTGTTATTTACTTAAAGATTTTTACTCCGTGGTAACACCTTGTTACCAGTTTCTCCCGTTTCTTTGTCAAACACTGTCGGTAAGGTTGCAGTCCTTTTCAGAGACGATGTGAGGGAAAGACTGATGACAGGCAGAGTCAGAAAGACTCAATAACATCCTGCATTTTGTCAGCCTGATGTTCTCACAGCACCTGACTCCTTTGACGAACCATCTGCTCTATAGGCTCTTTCTTATTCCTTGTTGTCTCGTGCTGTCTCGAACATCTCAATTAAATTTGACTGTGCATGGAGCAAAGTGGCTGAGTATGACTAAAAAGTTTGGGACTGTGTGACACCACAATTGAGAAGTTCTGATGAAAAAAAAAAAAGAGAAGAAAATCATTACTGCTATTACTATTCTTACTGAAAAGACATGTCCCGCAGGACAAATTCATTTCCTCCTCATACTCTGCTGCTGCAACATAAAGCAGGTCTGTGTCCTTTGAATTCTAAAATTAAAACTGGTTCCACAAAAAAAGACTGACTACAGGGACCTTCTGATATAATTTGAGACGAAAATAGCTTCAGCGAAAGACGTGTATTTAAATCTTCCTCAGTGCTCAGTAGGAGGAACTCAAAAGGTGGACTTGAAGGAGAGCCACTGGTGTCTTTTTCAAGTGACACAGTAGGAAAAGCACATGTGTAAACAGTGAAACTAAAGGTTGCTGAATTCCATTTATCTGCTACAGTTTCACACTCCTCTTAATGTGCACGCTCACTAGGACTCTTGAACAGAGCAGACATTGTTGGTGTTTTTGTGAGTGCTTTTCATACTTTGACCAGTCAAGATATCTGCTGTAAAAGGCCTGAACATCTGAATCCATCTTTGCTGCAGGATCACGAATTTATATGACATGTATAAATAAATACCCCTTTATTGTTCTATTGTTGAATGTGCATGAGAATAACTGTCAGAAAACAATCATTGAAATTACTTTTTATGTGCAATTATAGCAGGTATTTGAAGATAAAAGCTATTAGATGACAGATATCTATCTGATAAAAATGTACAACTAACAAATCACAATTACATATTTATATTTAGGTCATCTCAAATTATAAATGATGATCTTTAACAAAAGAGCTACATTTCCCCCTGCTGGTACACCCTTTGCTGTGCAGTCATCAGCTGTAACACAAGAGTCACACCTGTATGTGTGATCTACCTGAGTCAAGGTTCTTTAAAACAACAATAACAACAACAACAAAAACCCTCCAAGCTGCTTCAGCATCACCGCAGATCAGGCGTGGAAGACCCCAAATAAGTGGTAAGGTCTGTGATGTTTGATCTGATGATCTTGGCTGGAATAGTTGGCATATTCAACCTCTGATAGGCAGCAAACCTGTGACAGCCTCCGAACGAGTAGAAGTAATTTCCCCCCTCTCTTCCTTTGATCCAGAGCACATCAATCGGAGGAACAACGCTGATGTCTGTTGTCTCCTGGAGGGAAAGACAAACTGTCAATTAAAGTATACAACAGCTGTGGAGCAGAAATTATGCAAGTATTGCAAACAAAAACGTCTTGAAGTGAGAAGGAGGTAAAACACATGTTCATAAACCACTATACTGGTTCTTAATTGCTTTAAACTGTCATATTACAAAAAATAAATGATACACTACACTGTAATGATTAGAGGGAAATTGCTGTATGACGAAGATGCAAAACATTACAACAAACATGCATTTCCTGGAACATTGTAAGATCATTATGGGCAAAATAGCATTCTGCAGAATTCATTATACCTATTCAGGCTGTGGATCGCTAAAGTCTTCGCCAGAGTACATACAGAGAAGTGAACCAATTAAGCCTGAGGCCTTCTTTTGATCACCTGCATAAACACCCCAACATTCAGTCAACAAGGTAACATCTACAAAACTGTGAGGCCAAAATGAACAACCTTGGGCTCTATGAATAAATGACAACTGAGAAAATTTTAAAATGTAATACACTAAACTGTCTGCATCACCAGGCCAGAGTGACATCTGAAAAGACATTTCTACCTCCACCTAATCAAATTCAATCCAACACTGAATAACAATGGCCTCATAATAATGAGTCAGTGACACTGGTGTTATTGAACCCGTTTTAAGAATTCTCAGCTGCTAATCTACCAAATCTGATCCACATTCATTTTCATCACAGCAGTGGAAGATTTCTTGAGATCATTCTGTTAAGCAAAATAACAATACCAGACTGTAAAAAGCACCGAATGTAAAATAAATAACATAATTATTCATGCTTTAATGTGCAAGCAGAAAACTAGTGCTATAGTGGTTATATGTGAGCCAACTTAACTGCTTTGTATATGACTGCAACTAAAGGCTATTTATATTATGGAATAATCAGATATTTAGATTGCATAATTGTATGATTAATTAAAATTGCAATATAAAAAAAACAAGAAATGTTTGGCATGGAAAATCATTTGACGGCTGAATTTTTGGCAGTCAACTGTTGCAGCTTTACTTGTATATGCTCATCATATGTTTTGCATACAAAAATCTTGTTGACAATTAGTGATTAAAGCTGTCAAATTATCTCCTCTGAAATGCAGTTGAGTAAAAGTAGAAAGCGGCATGGGAAGAAAATACCCAAGTACATTATAAACACCTCGAATTTGCACTTAAGTACTTAAGGAAATGTACTTAGTTACTTTTTATACGTAACTTTTATTTCTATTCCAGTACTTGCTTTTACAAACGAGTGGTGCTGTCAGGGGTTTACAGCTATAACACTGAATGTTTCGTGAATAACGCTGGATCTACATTTTTCTTTGTGAGTTTTCTTAGTTTTTTTTTCATAAACAAAAGCAAGAACAACAAAAAAATTTCGGATCTAGGTATTCCAATTAGGCATTTAGGCAATCAAAATAATACAATACAGATGATTAAAAGCATTTTGCATATTATTTTACAGTCAGTAAAAGTCCAATCTGTGTATGACAGTCAAAATATTTTTTTTGTTGAGTCTCACAGCAAAATATTTGCCATAGTGATAGTACTACGTGGACATGTGTGTAACTAAAAATAAAGCACAACCACTCTTAAAATTAACTTAGAAAATATGGCAACAGGAAAACACAATTGATTATTTTAGGCTATGCTCTTGTGGTGAGATAAGTTATCACAGGACTATGGGTATATTTTTTTGTAACAGCAACACAGACAACAGATTTGCTCTGATTACTAGTAAGTAATTATTTGGTAAATTATGTTTTGGAACTTCTCTCCTCAATAGCACCTGAATCTCTTCTCCTGGACACATTAAATTACATTTATGAAAACAATTATTTCCAAGGCACACCTTTATACATTATTACAGCTGTGAATCAGTTCATGCATAATACTCATTTCAAGGCACACAGTTTGAGAGCCAGTGGTCTGGCTGCCTGCTCTCACTGTCATATTAATGTGGAACATTAGCTAAGCACAGAAAGGAAGTGGGATGACCTTACTTTGCCTAGAGCACAATGTCTCACATTTTATATTCGTTTTACTCTGAAAAAAATGTGAAAATTGTGCAATTATCAGCTTAAAATCTTAAGACTGCTGGGCTGGGAACCAGTGCTTCAAGATCCAAACAACGCCTCTGATAACAAGTAACAGAGGTTTTACTTTAGAACAGTTTTTAACTACTGTACCCTCCTCTGTATTCACAATACGAGTGAGTAACTAATATTTGCTAGCTAACTTCCGATAATTCACAGGAGTATTGTAGGCCACTGTTAAGCTGTATACATCTTAGAATCGCATGGTTGTTATCACACAAAAACTACAAACACATTAACAGTTGTTTTACCTTGATTGTGTCCATCAGACTCTGAACTTTCTGCTCATCCAGCACCGGAGGAAACGGTCTAATGATGACTTGCATTGGGACGTTATGAACCTCCTCCACGGTGTCCGAGTGAATCGACCTGTTGTTGCTGCCGTCCGCCGCACCACACTCATTGGACATTATCGATATGTTTCTATTGGACAAAAATACCAGATTACACCGAGTTTTAGCGCCCTGCCAGAGACGAAACATTTATCCGTCGCCTGTAGCTCTCTAAGTGAGTACTTCCTGGAGTTTCTTCACGAAGTGCGAGAAAAGGTTTTGATTGGTTGTCCTCACTGTCAATCACACATGCGCAATGCTCTTCGGGTCTGTGGAACCGTGGTTGAAACGCCCACATATTGAATATAGAGTTTGAATATAATGTTTATTTCGTTTGCATTTAAACATATATACTGGCTTTTGCAGTCATATCAAGAAATAAGAGATAACGCCTTGCTTTAAACACTCCTGTAAATTAGCCAGCTATCTCGTTATTAGCCCTTCTAGTTAATTAATTAACTAGCTAGCCGTTTAGCTAGCGATTCAGCTAGCTCGCTAATTAGCCACTCATTAGAGTTTACATATTACAACGTTGTCAAACTTTAAGTAGACATGACGAACCTGTCAATAAAAGTCGCACATCCAGCAGGTACAGAGCAACATTATCATTCAGTTGAAGTCGTGTTTCTGGCCACTTGATGAATGTAAGTCAGATTTTCACTCTATTTTAGCTCTATTTTGGTCCCTGCCTTCTGTGGGATATATTTGATATTTTTGATATTAGCAGTTGCTTAGTTGAGTTAAAGTATGCTAAATTGTTCTGTAGAGGTGGTGATAATTCACAGTGCCTCATTGTTCACGTTGTATTTTGATACTATCGTATAAAATAGGACAGGCATGTAAAATATTATTCTTTACCCACTTTTCTGTTATATTCCAATGTCTTCTTTTGGTCTTGTAAGTAGTGATGGAAAACCACTTATTTCATTTAGGCAGTTACATTAAAACCAATCTGTAGTTGATACTGGCTTTACTTCCTCATAGTTTAGCCCTCTACAGACCTCACTGCTTTTCGTGTTAAAATTGCAGTACTAGTTGCAATGATTTCTTCTGCTTTATATGCTTTATTTATTTCTTTTTACTTTATTAGCATCCAATATGCATACATTTATGTACACAGTAATGCACAGTACACATTAGATGAAAGTGAAGAAAATCACAAAATGCTCATAAAGCATTGCTTTTGCAACAAATAAGAAAATATGATATGTGTTATATGCTGTATGGGCGATGCATGAGCAAATATACACGAACAGTCAAAACATTATAACCACCTGCCTAATACTGTGTAGGTCCTTTCGTGCTGCTTGGACAGCTCTGACAGACTGAGGCATGGACTCCACAAGACATGCAAGTGTTTCCTCTAATATCAGGTACTGCTGATCACTTTAGTGTAAATATATAACTGTGGTGAAGCCTTTATGCATCGGACTTGTTCCTCCGATAATTTCCAAACTGTTGTTGAAGTATGGCAAAAAGCATTATCCTGCTGAAAGAGACGATTGCCATCAGGGAATGCAGTTGCCATGACAGGGTGTGTGTGGTCTACAGCAGTGTTTAGGTAGATGGTGCCATCCAAGTGAATACCAGAACACTGCACAGAGAATCACACTGTCTCCACTGGCTTGCCCTCTTCCCGTAGTGCCTTCTACATAACCATCTCCTCCCCAGTTCTACATAGGCCTATTTTAGATTTACAGGCAAAGTGTACAAGTATTAACAATCCCCGCCACTGATATAAACTATGGAAGTCTTGTGCATTTTACCAGCTGCATTTCTGTGAGCCCAAATAGAAGTAATGTGGCATTTTCTGTAGTAGACTTTTGAAACAGATCGTTGAAAACATGCTAACAAGCAATTCTAATTTAACTGGGAAAAGCTGTGAAACTGATGAAACATTGTTAAGTGTGTCTATCAGACAGAGCATTTGGGTTAACTTTTCTGCTTCTTAGCATGTAAACAGGCCTGTTGAGTATTTTGTGGCATTTACGTGTAGTACTAAACTCACACCAAACACATTTCATGGCCAAACTGTTTCTCATTAAAATTCACTCCAGCAATTAGTCATGCCGTTAAAAAGAGCCTCTACAAGCCCAGAATCCTTTGGTGACAATAGTTTTTAATGAGGTCAGTGTTTTGTGTTGTAGACTGTCGCATGATATAGGCTTCCTATTTCAAAGTGCACTACTTCGTGATATTCTATTTTTACAGGGATTTCAAAGAACCAGCCAGGTTGCTGTGGTTACGAAAAGGACGTCTGGGCTCGCAGCTTGCACAGGTAAGTGGAAAGCTTCAAAGATCTGCGGCAGTGGAGCGGAAACAGAACTATTGTTGTTTTTTCCAACCCACAGCTACGGCATATCCTAATGAGACAATTAAAAATGATTTCTTGGACAGCAGAGGCAGGCCATTATATTGAATTATTACAAATTCTTTGAACTACAATGGCAGCGCCTTTTATGTTGATTAATTGGTCACACGGGGATCAGTTACAACATGAAGAGGGTCTATATATAGTATGTAATCACTAGCAGTGCTATCAATACATTATATACCCTTGTAGAATAAAGCTTAACAAAGTACATCCTGTAATTTAGGTGGTGCAGTGAATATAATCACCATTTTACATCATTGTGAAGGGGTAGTGCAGTAGGCAACAAAAACAGCTAAGATTTGAAAGCCACTTTACATTTTCTACTTTGTTGTCTTAAAGAGCAATTTAACTGACAACAGAATACTAAAAAAAACTCCTGTTGTAATATAACATGCTGACACAGATCATAATATGCTGACACTGGCTGTGTGACTTGGTGTTTCTGTGTGAATAACTACAATATAGTAAGTAAGTACAGTGACATTTCCCCCCTGGGCATTCACTGCTTTATGCCATAGTCAGGTTGCTGCTTTGCTGTCAATCAAAAGCCACTTCATCACGCACCAAAAGAAACCAGCATCTCGTGAAGAGAAGAGACGCTGTCAGTCAGAGCATATAGACATGTAAATCTTCTCCACTGTTGAGGTGTGTTCAGAGTCCCACTACACTCTGCGTGACCCTCTGCTGTCACAGCAGGACTGTATTCTAGTTGCTAACATATCTCAATTACTTAGATTGAGTTAGTCACACAGGTACAGCGGCAGGTCATGGAAGAACAGTTCCCACATAATGATTTGCTGTTAATATTAGATTTCAGTCCCCGTGGGATTGTCACACTTAGAGCAGCTGGAGAAAATTACCTGCCAGCTTTCCGACAGGGAAGTGAGCTATATTTATTTATGCCTTCTCCTTTTTTTTTTTTTACGCGTTGACATGCTTTTAAAGTGATAATTATTCTGACGCCGATTTCCAGTCTTCAAACTATAGCTCTGTGATAGATGAATGTGTGTGAAATCATAACACGGTTTAGCAGCAGTGGATGTTTTGTGTTTGCGGCCGAATGTGTGACTGATTTGTTCAGCGATGTTGATTATTCACTGGTGGCTCTCGCTGCCTAAATCTATGAAATTATTTTCTGCACTATCTCCTTCTGGTACAGCTGCCCAGAATGAGATTTCTGTTTAATGATCTTCCTTGCCTTGAAATAAATTTGTTCTCCAAATCTCATCCAAAGAGAGAGCAAGTGGTGTTTTGGAGTGGGGTTATTTAAATGTGAATTCAGCTGTCGTCTTTCTTTCCATGGACACTTGGTTCAGTTTGTTAACCTTACAACAAAAACAGAGGTAGAATAACATTTTCTTCAGCATAAATATTAACATAGAAGGCCACTGGCGGATTGTTGAAATTATGTAAATGAAGCAGTTGTTTTAATTAGCAATTAATTGGGAGATTATTTAAGTTATAAAATGTGATTTCACACAGCTCAAGTTGATGTCCTCAAAATCCATCCAAAGATATTCAGTTTCTTTCATGTACGACAAAGAAAAACATACAACCGCACGTTTGAGAAACAGGAATTGAAAAATATTTTTATTTTTTGCTTAAAAAATTATGTAAGGAATTGTTATTTGATCATCAAAATAGTTGCTAATTAATGCTGTGTTGATCAGCTCATCCGTTAATCAAGTAATCATTGCAGCGCTATAAATTCTAAAACTTCATAGCTGTAATTCCTTTGCTATCCTTGTTTCTGCATGCATGGTATATAAAGGGAAAAAGGAGCTATTTAAGGAGTGCCCTCCTTGACTTTTGCCTGAGTGCTGATGACAAGTGGGATATCTTGGATGCATAAAAATGCGATTTTGACATGACTTCAAAAAGAGAAGCATACGGATGAGGTGGACCCTCTGCCAACAGAGAGACGAGGAAACAGATGGGTTTTACACAAACAGCACAAACATCAAGAACACTGAGTTAAAGAGCTTGGCAGTCTCACTTGATGAAACAGTGAGGAATGGAGGCGCTTTTAATGAGCATCTCTCCTGTGATGCAGAATGTGAAAAGACAAACTGTTAGCTCTTAAAGGGGCAGTTACAGTTGGTTGGTCCTGACTGGTTGAACTGAAAGGTTTAACTAACCTCTTGTTGAGTGAATTTGGTCAGCATGCTTGCAGACTGGTTAAGCTGTGGAGGCTGTTTGCGTGCGGATGGTGATGGATTGTAAAGCAGAATAATGCGGAGCGGAATTTCTCCTTTAGCTGAACTATCCAGTTGAACTGAGTGCACTGTCATCAACATACAAAGCCTTTGTGTTTGTTGTTGAATTGTTGATGCTGACAGTTGGGTATCAGCCAACAGATGGCGCCAGATGTATGGGAAGGGTCACAGTGAGGGCTGGCACTAGTTGAAGAAGGTTGAATAAAATGATGGTCATTTATTTACAATAATAGCTTGTTGTTTACTGGGTCAGCTCTAAAAAATTTGAGAGATACCAGCTGTGGCTACAAATCTTTTTCAAGACTGATTTTGAATCGGTGTATTAAGTATACATTTTTAAAGCCTGCTAACAAAGATTATTTTTTAAAATCATTTTTTTCATTTGTTTTTTTCATTAATTTATGAAATGCAAAATTCAAAGCTTTTTATTTGTCCAAAATCCCCAAATATTCAAGTTTAAATTATATAAAACTGCTCAAACTCAGATTTGAGAAGCTTCAAACCAGTGAATATTTTGGATTAAACACATGGAATGGTTAATTGATTATGAAAATACTTGCAAATTAATTCTCTCTTGATTGACTAATAGATTCTTCTGC